TGGGGAGACTTTGTCTCACATACTTTGCGCGTGTTACCCGGTGAGACCAGTCCCTGGAGAAGGGCATCATGCGTGGGAAAGGAGAAGGGCAGAGGGGAAGAAGCCCACTGAGAAGCTGGACGGACACGTGGCTGCAACGATGGGCTCAAACATAAGAACAAGGGTGAGGGTGGCGCAGGACCAGTCTGGGCTTCATTCTGCTGTCTGTGGGGTCGCTATGAGTCAGGACAAGTCGATAGCACTTAGTGATGACAGCCCACCCATGCTTCTTTCCTTAGCACAGTGAGCCTCCCGCACACAAGAGAAGGCCTTAGCAGGGGGCACAATGTGAGGGATTAAAAGGATTGCCAGGGCGTACTTATCAGAAATCTGACTCCAAGGAGAGATGAATGCTGGTTGGCTGCCCTCACAGGAAGCACCTGGGGGATAAGTACTGTCTGGTATTTCCCAACTGCTTTCTTTACCCTCACTCCACAGGCCCTGATTGCTGTGGTCCCTCCGAAGATGCAAATTACCTGAATCAGGCGGTGGTGACTCACCAGCCCCCTTAAAAGCGGCTTTGGGTGCAGCTCATGGACTGCTGGGGAAGAAGCCATGGCTGGAAGATTCTGCTTTTTCTCCTGGTTCCTGGTCTGCTGCCTGGTGGTCACTGTGGCAGAAGGTAAGGGCTTTGTTTTTCTTCTCTGTGGGTCCACTAATGAAGAAGTCGAGGCAATGACAAAATGCGGCTTCACGGTGATGCGGTCCCGTAAACTGGGAATACTCACATCAGCCGCCAGCAGCTTGCTGGAGAGAGAGAGAGAGGCTGGGTTGTATCCCCTGAGGACCTGGGTTGTCCTCTCAGGTCTAGCCCACGACTTTAGAAGTGGCACTCTCCACATCTGTGCTAGTGGCAATAGTTTTTCCCCTGTCTTTATTTATTTACTTTAAATTTTATTTTTTATTGGGGGTTCATACAGGTCTTATCACAATCCATCCATCCATGCATTGTGTCAGGTACATTTGTATGTTTATTGTCCTCATCATTCTCAAACATTTTCCTTCTACTTGACCCCTTGGTATCAGCTTATTTTTCCCCTCCCTCCCCCACCTCCCTCAACCTCCCTCCCTCATGAATCCTTGATAATTTATAAATTGTTATTATTTTTTCATGTCTTACACTGACATGAAAGTCAGCCACTTAAGAATATTCACTAAGGTTAAAAAAAAAAAAGAATATTCACTAAGGTGGGGCCATGAGGATCCAAGGAGCTATCATATGTGAGAAAAAGCACTCTTCAAATTTAAAACACTATACAAATGTAATTGTTACACACTGAGAAATTTCTACATTGAATTACAACAATATCCACCTCCCCAGCAGTGTAGTAATATGCACATGGTAGGCAGTTAAGCTCTGCTCCTTAATGACACTCATTAAATACATTTGATCAGCTGGGTATTCGAACTCTGCTATGAGCATAGGTTTCCGTTTCTTTCTTTAGGATTGCAATTGATTTGATTAATTATCTTTAGGATTAGATGAGGATTCTCTCAGGAATCCTATTTCTCCATTGTTCCATTTATCGTTCCTTTTCCCCATTCAAAGCCTCCAGGTAGCCTGAGCTGTGGGAGTCATTGGTGAGCCCTGGGATAAAGGAGAGGCTGGGAAGTGGGGGGAGAGAAGGCAGGAAATGAGAAAAGAGATCCTGGGTCTCACTTTCCCCCCTCCACAAAAGTCATTCCAAATCTTCAAGGAGCAAGCACCCTGGAGTTCAACTGAGCTCTCCCTTCTTTCACTCGCCCCAGGAGGGCTCTGCAGGGGTGCAGCCAGTCCCTATTCAGTCCCAAGCAAGTTCCCTGAAAGCTCACAGCAGAATACAGAGATCCAGACGCCAGAATTCATCAGCAGAAGCGAAGC